GGTGAAAGCGCTCAAGGTGGGCCAAGATGGAAGGAAGAAGGACCTCAAGGAGGACGGACTTCTTCATTGACATGTGTCCACCCTCGTTTCATGGAGTTAAGGCGCCGTGCGGGGGGGATGTCTACTTTTGATACTGAATGTTTTCTTTTTTCCTAGCCTAATGTTTGTGGGAGGGCGTCCTCTGCTTTTGAGAGGACCTGGTCGGTCTCCGACGTTCAGGCCTACAGGGGGAGCACAACGACCAAGGGCACCGCAGTCAATTCGAATGGTCCAGTCGATTCCCCGAACTGAGGGACCTGCAACCGCGACCCTCAATGCGAACCTGCTGGGAACGCCTTTGGCCAACTGTCAAGGCCTGGTCCAGAGGGCCTGGGCTTATTCTTCCCAATATCAAAAGCTGATACCTATGTCACCTGCACATCATGCGACCTGGGAGATTTGCAACCACATGTTCAATCCTTTTCTGCCTCAACATGCCTCAACCATCCTGAACTGAACATAGGGAACCCCATAAACCACTGCAACATTCACAACTAACCTCTGAACAAACTCCGCTAGACAAAAAAACAACAAACACAGTAGATCACAGTAGAAACTGCTACGTGGCTGCTAGACCACGTCAGGACGTGCGAATTTCTTCCTCATCCCCATTCACCATTGGGACTCCCGTGGCTTTTTTTCTGACACCTGCGTTCCCGGCCCGGCCGTTCACCCACCTCTACCCCCTCCCATCCCTCACCAGTGACCCCCTTCTTTCATCGTCGTGGCGCGCCAGCGCCAAGGGCCTTGCGACCAGATTGAGCCCATCCGCGAGCAGCGAGGTGACCAGCCTTGGTCCCAACGATGCCAGGCGCAGCAGCAGCATGACTGCCCGCGCATGACCGTCGTCTGCTGTGAGCCGAAACAGCTGGTAGGGTGAGGAAGTGCCAGGAGAAACATGGAACATGCGTCTCAAAGGCTGGCGCAACTTTACAAACATGTGACCTGGCTCCCAAGTCGGCCCAAACAAAAAACCCCGCTGAACACTAACATGGAACCTGAAAACCACTGGTTTGTAGAGGAAAACAGTCTTTCAGGGTGCCATTCTCAGGGTCCATGTTAGTTTTCAGGAGTGTATATATTACTCGCTCTCTCTCTCTATATATATATACAGTATATAAACCCCAGGATGATCAAGGATGGCCGACAGTGCGAAAGTGCGTCGAGCTCGTCGACGGCACTCGATTCCGATCGGACCCACGAGTCCGAATGGACCAGCTTGCTGGACTTCGGGTTCAACGCCCGCAGAACCCGGTCAACCGTCAACCTACCATGCAGGGTCAGGTTTTGACCCACCGCCACGTATGTTCTTCTTAGGGCCTGATTGCAATCGGCAAACTTCGACAAACCCCTCATGTCAAAGGAACCTCCCAAATCTCTCTCCATCTCTCTCTCCTGGCAGGCCATCCATCGATGTATTACACACGTGAGCCAACTCTATAGAAGAAGACAGCAGGCGAAAACCGATGTTGCTGCCGAAGCCAAGCTGTCGAGGTCTTTTTCTAGCCGAACCCGGCCACCCTTGTGACACGGCGCCCCGGCCGCCCCCTGGGAGGCCACACCGCAGCCGCCGCATCGGAAGGCGCCTACCGTGACGGTTCCGAAGCTGAATAAAGGGTCCGACCGAGGGTCCAGGGTCCGTTTGGACATCCTGGATGGTGCGCCGAAAACAAGGGTCACTCACGTTCTTGGTCGAATTGATTAGCGAAGATGTGCGATGGATGGAGCGCTCTCAAAGGCCCCAAGGACTGCCAGAATCAGAATGAATCAAAAGCCGTGTAATAAGGCCGGCCAACATCTGGATACATTGATCTGGGATATAATGCCAAAACCAACAAATCTAATATACAATCTTTATTAGGCGCGCTGGTGATTCTTCTAGGTGGCTAACTAGCATTGCACCACAGGCAATCAGGATTCTGCAGCACAGTTGCACACATCACCGTTGCACCCTACCTCCCTTGTCTACCACCCATTTCTCTCAAGGAATGACTCCGGGATAATCAAACATTCATGGAATTGGAACGCAGGCCGCTGGAAGACCATTTTCCTCCTACAAACTCAATCATATAAATCCCCTGCCAACATAGATCTTGTCCATCCTTAGAATCCTTTGCTGAATGTGGGAGAACTGCTGAGCTTTTCCTGGGTCTCAAAAAGAAGGAGATCCTCTTTGGCCCAATCGCAATCTGCACCTGGCCGAATCGCGAGTGCACTTCAGGCGAGTTCGTGCCCACCGTGTCGGTCTCAACAGGTCGTATGGGGTAGCGACCTGGCCCATATAATGAGGTACCCGGACCTTCCATTGGGAACCTCAAATTCGCTACGTCTCGCAGCAAAGATGAGACCGGCCCTTTCCATCCCTGAGAATTGGCGAAGCAAAATGCTTTCACTTTGCGAAGGGGGTTTCTAGCATTGTTTCCACCCAACAGGACACTGAAATGGATCTTTATATGATTTAAGATCGTCTCTTGACAAGTGACAACGAGTGTTAGAAACATCAGGCTGACTTTGAGGGAGACCAAACCCTCCCGGATATTCCCGCAGCCTTTCCCTCACTCCCGCTGCCTTCACACGCGACTGGGCACAAGGACCGCTGGTTTGTCAGGTGAAATGGCTGCAGAAAGCATGCATTCCAATCCGAAACCAAGGATTAGAACGCTTGGGGACTTGGGGCTGCTGTCCTGCTTGCTGTAAATCTTTATGTGTCACTTAAGTGGGTGACATTGGATGACAGTCGAATGTGGGGCTCGGAAGCGCATGGGGCTTGGCTCTCAAGCCACGTTCGCAGTCACTGCATGGGGCGTTCGCCACGTTCGCAGTCACCGGCAGTCACCGGCCTGGGCCCCTCGGAGTGAAATGTGGCTGACCTACTGCTGGAACCGTCGCCTGTCCTCGTCGCCATGTTCACAACAAGCTCGCATTCTGATGGGCTTTAGCTCGGTGGATGGGCATGCTGGCTAGGCATGCTGTGAGCATCTGGCACGAGGAAGGAAGGCACGAAACATTCCTATATACCATCAAGGATTTGGCAGCCCTTACCACTCAGTAACGATGGAAGGCCACCTGACCTGTAGGGTTCCCAGGCGTCTTGGGCATCTTATGGCATCTTTGTCCACTTACTTTGTCGTTTTCGTTTAGACAGCTCAAAAGGGCGCGTTCGGATGTCACCTTTGTTCCCGCCGGACGCGACTGTGTCACTCCCCTTGCAGACCTGTGCTAGCAAGGGGTGCAGCGACCTGCGTGTGGTCGGGCTTAATACCCTCCACCGGCCTAGGCAAAGTGTCAAGGCCGCCGTTCCCTACCGACTGCCTTTCCCCTTGACCGTGCGGAAAATGCATTTTGGTCCGGTAAAGAACCACATCTGATGGCCGCAAGTTTCTGCGGTCAATGGGATTCGATGGCATATGATCCGGAGTCAAATGCCTGGTATGAACACCCGCAAAATGAAGAATGCCAGGCAGTGGGAAGGGCTCGGCTGGGTGCCAGAGATTTTTGCGTGGGCGGGCTCTTGACGGGCCGGTAGGGTTATCCAGAAGGGCATTGAACGGGTACCCTCTTTGGTCAAAAGCAAGCACAGCTTTCAGTGTGACCATTCTCACACTATTCATCCCAGTATCAAACACACCTCCCAACAGCCCCTTGTGCATAGTGGGTCCCCAAATAGATGAAAACAGTTTCCAATACAATTTGAGTGGGAATCTGCCTTTCCATCTATGTTTGGGGTTCTATATCTATAGTGGGTGTTCTTCTGTCTTCACTGGTCCTCATCGTCTTTCAGATCAGATCTTCGAGGGGCCGATGAAGCCATACCGTGCATTCAGAGTTCAGCTCACCATGACTGGCTTCGCATTTCAGCGCCTGTCTCGCGCTGGACATCATGATGCAGCGAATTTCCATCTCCGGCGGCTCGACCGGCCCCCCTTGTGGAGTGCCAGGTCAGCGTGCCGGACTCAACACCAGCCGTCGTAGTTCATAACATGGTCTCGTGCCATGCGAGGCAACGTATGGCATGGAGCTGATGGCTTGCACAATCGGAGTTATATAACACTCAAATACCCATGTCAATTTACAGGGGTTCCTGAAGGTCATTACAAAGACAACATAGCAGGGCCAACACAGTAGAGGATATAGAGCAGCTTGGCTGAAGAAACATGCGGCTGTACTTGCAGCTGTTATTCAACACCACAGAAACAGCAAGCGCTACTCAGGAAGAGAGATGAGAAGCAGTTGTTCTGAGTGTCTTTTTTTGCAAATTCACGATGCCACGGTGTTTTGCCTTAAAACCCCCCACGTCTCACAATCGGATACATCCTAGTGGTAGGAATGGTGCCGTAGTATATGCAGTAGAATATGTATATATGTGAGAAATCCTACTCAAATGTCAATGTCTCATAGTTTGCTTCTGAAATACAATTCTCCCCACCCTACCCTTCAGAAAATCGAGGAGTTGACCTTCTGATAAAATAGGGGGTGGCTGACCCTCTCAACCAATAGCTTTTTACTTTACATATCATATTTTTCGGTTCACTACTATCAGTGATCAGTACCACTGCCTCTACAACTACCAGTGCGAAAGCTACTACGACGTCGATGACGACGACCACCCCCCTCCCACTACCAATCTTGTTACCACATGTGGTTGTATCATACTCGCTCATGCACCTTCCAAATCTCTATCTGGTTGGTGGTTTCAACTCGCTTGACAAATAAATATTAGTGAGAGTCAGCGGGGTCAATCATCCCCAAGTCAAGTAGTAACTATACATATCTGAAACCACCACCCAGCTATGAAATGCAGGGTCAATCATCCCCACTCAGGGGGACCATAAAACGTTTTATACACCATCAGCAACAACCCCATTTCATGGAGCATCTTGGCCATGGGTATACACTTACTCACCTTCTGCAGTGGTTGTCAAACATGATGTTTGGGCACGTGCCGTTGATGAAACATTGAACTGGAAGTTTTGCTGGGCCAAGGGAGCTCCATCCAAGCATGCCTCCTCCTCTCAAGAGGAGCGAATTAAGGAGATGCAAAAATTCCTATGCTACTACCTACGCAGGACATATAAACCTATCTCCTAAGCTACTCACCTAAGATCTACTCAGCTCGCATTCTTCTCAAGTGTTCTTGTCCAAGTGTGATGCTTCGAAGGGATTCCTGCAAATCTGATGTAGATGGATAGGAAGACACACTTTTGCAAGGAACACAGCTGAACCTGATCTTTCCTCAGGATGGCAGGCAGTCCTCCAGCTGCTCAATAAGAGGAACAAAAAAAGTCCTGGCGCAGCCAAGCCAATGGGTTGCAGTCCTCAATGTAGCCCATCCTTTCTCATCTTGGCACGCCAAGCCCAACACCTCCCTTCAACCCCTTTTGGAGGTCCACCGGCCCGGTGGATCTCCGCCCCACCTTGCGGGACCCATGGCGGGCTTCGCGAGCCTGGCGCCGAGACAGAGACGGGTTGCAGACCTACTTCCACGGAGCACCCCACAGGTCTTCTCTATGGATTCACAAGGCGAAGCCCGCACATGGCGAAGCCCGCACATGCAAGAAGGTATGGACCATGACTGAGTCAACGGCCTGTACCTCTAGCAACCATCATTAAAGATCTAACTTACAAGGAGGTAGGGTGATAATAGAGGCGATAGGCGGCTTAAACTGGAACAACATGCAAATGCCAAGAACATCCCAAAGATGGTGTTGACCAACCTCAAAGACGTGGGTTCCAACAACTCTCAAGTGTCGCACGAGAGTAAACTGATTTGTGAAACAAAATTTTAAAAAGGATTGACCTGCAAACTTGCCAATTCTCGCAAATTGCATCGTAGATGGAACTGTCTTGGGCAAACCGTAGAAGAACTGCCTTGGATGAATTTGCAGAAGTAGAACAACAATGTCCCATTGACAAATGAGAGAAGTCTACTGGAACGGGATGACACAAGAGATTCCATTGCATGAATCAAGTAGAAACCTTAGTATAAGCCAATCTCGTTAGCAGTGATCTCGTTTGTATGGTAGGGAAGAATGTCTCAATGTTCGGTCCGCGTAGGTGCTATCTCCAAGTCCACACTTCGCAGTCTGTCAGCCTGTCACCAAAAAGTGCTAAGTATTATGTTCTAATTACAATGATTTCTTTTAAGGTGCAGAATGCACCGTTTGATCAAAAGGGGTATTGACTCCACGGCGAATCAGCGCATCACCTTGGCTTTCTTCCTCAACTTCACCTCACCTGCACAGGTGGTGATCCAAAATGGACGCGCATCGGCTAATTGGTCCAGAACACTGGCCAGGCATTGTTTTTTTTGGCTTAAAAAGAACATCCAGTCTTACGCCCCAAACAAAGAAACACCACGCACGCACAAGGAAAAAACAACACATGCTTGTTTAGAGTCTTCACCTCATCCTTCTATCATGTTGCATGTGTTTCGGATTCCCCGGTTCTCAGTCGGCTCCTGGCGGGCAAAGATGGCAGCGTCCACAACTGGCACCGTTGTGGCCTCAGCGAGGTCTCCACCACCATGTGTGCTGGAAGTGCGCGCATGCCTTGGGGTTCACAAGTTCACTCTAAAGGATCTAAAGGCATCTACATAGTTAAAATAAAGGATGCCTATGATATCACCTATGATATCTAATGGATCTCAAGGCATCTTTCACTTCATGATATCATACAGGTATCTACAATCTTCAACGTGAAGGAACCTTGCTAACCAAACAATAATATTCACACATCATATCTCCAAATATTGTTAAAAACCTGTATATGCACACATAAACCAAAAAATATATATATATATAAACACAGTATATATAATGTATATTTATGCATAAAGTCAGTTGACCATCCATATGGATTCATGAACATCTGATCCTCTACCTCTCCCCCTCAATGTTTCGGCACATTGGGGCTTCCAGCAGCCTTGCGGCTTCCAAACCCAGGCGCACGGACTGCAATTTCCTGCCGCGACGTCCCCCGTGCGCCCGCAAAGCTTGATGTGTCGAAAGGAGACGTCTAGCCGCTGTTGAGCCTCCAAGGGCATGCCAAAAGAAAACGAATAGCGTAGACACCCGAAAAGAATTACATGAATGACCTAATATATCCTAATATAGGATAATAATAGGAAGATTGGTCGCACATTCCTTGGTTTCATTCAAATAGTTGTGAACCACACATCTCAGTTCGCCCACCAGCTCTGAACAATCCAGCTTGAATATCTGGTGCCTTCTGCAACTTGCCAGCGTCCAACAAACATCGCAAAAAGACCTCCCTGACTCCACAATCATCTTCCACCCCTTTTCTCCTCCCTTTTCTTCCAAATACCATGCCACACCACCCCAGGTGTCTCAAAGTTCGGCCTTTGGCATGACGCACGGAGCCCAAGGAGGGCAACTCCAAGGGCACGACCTCGGTTGTTTTCGTGACGCGCGGGCGGGCCACCTTCGGTCAACGAGTCAGATGGCTGCGGCCATCCATGTGTTTTTTTCTTTTCTTCTTTTAAACATCAAGGGGGGGAGGGCACCCAAAAAGACATCACTGCACTGCACTGGAGGAATTGGGAGTTGCGACATGATGACTCATGTTCTGTGCGCGGTTGCGAGACAGAAACACAATTTTAGATTCTCAAGTTTCACAGTTAGCTGAGGTTGACAATCTATATAAGGACTCCATGCATGGCAGATTAGACGCATTGGGGTGTATATACTATAAATTGTGTAGCATTATTCCAGACATGGAGTGTCTGGGATTTTTGGTCTCTTTGTCCTCTTTGTCGCTGGTTTCGCAGGTTCACCCGTTTTGCGCCATCTCATGGTACAGTCGGTACAGTAGCTGGAGCGGCTGGGCTGCAAATCCCTATTTATACCCAAGGATGCCAATCATGTTTGGTATACTTTGTACTCATATATGACGAACAACACGCATAATTATGCACTTACTACATGGATGGCACCCTCGTTCCGACCGACCTCTCGTTCCGACCGGCTCGTTGAGGCCGTCCGGACCGTGTCGTCCAGGTTCAAGCGCTCCGCCGCCACGCCCATGTGGATGCGGGGGCAGGAGCACCTCGTCGGTTCCGCTCATCATCCGCCCAAAGGCATTGGGGGTTCACCAGGGTCTGGCACTCCAAATGGTCCAGTGTCAGAACGAGTCCAATCGTGAACGTGATGATTCTAGATGGCTCAGCTGCAGATCCCCGAGGCCTGAGGACCTTAGCAGCTTCTCCCGGCCTACAATGCATGCAGGATGCCAGAAACGTATGCCCCTCCAGGCCTCATAGCAGTCCTCATAGCCTTATGTCCTCCATGTGAATGTCTGGGAGGCACCCACCTATAGATTTTCCCCAAATACATGTTTAGAGTCGGGATTGTCTGTGATGTTCCTTTTTTATCTATTTGGGGGTCACTATGTAGATTTAGATTACTTAGATCATTTTAGATCTAACAAGGCCCCAATCCTTGCGGCAAAGTAGACCGAGCGACTGGTTCTTGCCACACAGGATGCAGGCGCGGCTCGGAGCGGGCGTGTTCTTCTGCTCGTCGTAGACGGCGCGGAACTCAGCAGCACAAAGGTGGCCTGAGCTCGCTCGCAAAGAAGGGAAGGACTGACTTGCTGGGAGGTGGGATGGAGGCTCTTGTGTTGGAACGGGTCAAAGGTTTTTTGGTGACAGTTCGGGTGAAGGAAGGGCTGTGGAGTTGTAGTGGTGTATCGTGGAAATAATGAAAGCTGACAGGGAAATGGTTTGTGCTAGTTGATGCATGCAAGTACGGTGAATGTGTGAAATCTATAGCATGTGATGTGGATCTCGCTACTGGAGCGGTTGAGAACCAAGCACTGCCGGGCTCCTAAGCCTTACCCAGAAAACAGACGCAAAACAAGAGTATACCGCATGACAAGACCATATTTGCACGGGGCCCATGATTCATCGAATTGCTGAGACCTCCAAAAGAAGCCCTAAACACCGGACATCGCAAAGCCCTCAGGGAAACCGCATCAATGAAACAAATAATATATCTCAGACGGAAACTCCTTGGGGAGGGAGCTGTTCCTGAAAACATAAGACACCAAAGGGCTGACTGTCTTCTTCGTTGACTAGACAGGGGCGAGACAGGGACAGGCCACTCCAACATCCTGCCGTGTCCAAGGCACACTTCTCGCATCGCGGGCCTTTTGGGCAACCCTCAGGGGTGAATGCTTCCGGACACAAAGTGCATTCCTGGGCAAAAACGACGGTGGGGCATTCGACTGCCCACGGCAGCCTGGCGACGATCCCGAAAAAGGATTCGATGATGAATGCATCGAATGGGGGAGTATCGCCGGTCAGTTTCTTCAAATCACACGGAGTTTCATCTCTGCCCCCAACCACAAGTCGGCACCTTCGCCAGCAAGTCTCGAATCAGAACCCAGTTTGTCAGTTTGTTGATCACGTCGTCATCGACGTGTCATCGCGTTTGACATTTTAATACATCAATTAATTTAGGTGTGGATCCCCACACCCACACAGGACCTGGGTGAGTTGGGAATCTGCTGCAGAATCTGCGTGATGTCTATACTTTTCTTGATTGTAGAGTGCCCCAATCACAATCTCAGTCAAGTGTTCTGTCAAAAGCACCCGTGGTCCTGTGGTCCAAAATATCCACACACTTCAAACGTCGGCATAAATAGTTGCGGCGGCACAGTGGCTCGACACAAGACCAAGCAAGACCAAGGTCCATGACCTACCTCCAAGATGTGAGGGCCTTCGAGCCATCCCCCATATCTGGAAAAACGTTGTTTTTATCCATCCGCTGAGCGTCTCCAGTGCTGTGCTTCGCTGAGCCCACCGAGCCCAAGACCACTGGTACCACAGGTTCTGGCTCGTCCTGCTCCAAGCCCGGTGGAGGGCGCCAAGAGACCTGAGGTTCCTGGTGCAGCAGAATAGCTCCGGCGACGAGGAGCAGATGGAGTGAATGGTGATCGATGGTGATCCTCTCAAGAACGGTGCCAGGTGCAACTCCTTCCTGCCTCCTATGCTCCTCCTCCTTTAGCCGACGTACTCCTACTCCTCCAGCTCATCATTCATGCGGGCACCACAACAGACCCGGATGTCATACCAAGAGCTTTGTCTGGGCACACATGGTCACATGGACCCCAACACGGTTTGGGCACACATGGACTTGAATACTAGAGGGAACTCGAGCTCATGCTAAAAAATATACCTGCTGCAAACCAAATGTGAGATACACTGCCAAATAACGTGCCGGATCCAATGCTGGCCAGTTAAAGTGTCAAACAGGAATGTGAGATAGAAGGTTTGCCAAATAGAATGCCACAAAGTTAGGACACATATGTCACCGTCAGTGATCACTCAAACATAGACAAGGGCAAGTGTAAGGATGATTTGGAACACATGTCCGAACGTGCCATAGGTGATGCTAGCACAAATGTCAGAACAAGTGTCAGAGCACATGCCGGAGCAAAGAGCAAGTGTCAGAACACTTGTGAGACAAATGGTAGCATAATGTCAGAACACATGCCAAACATGTATCATAACAAGCGTCGGAACACGTGTCAAACAAAAGTCGGACTGCATGCCAAAAAACACACCAAACCACATAACTGAAACATGCCGGGACATATCTGAGAAACATGTGCCGGAACAAATGGCAAAATTCATGGACAGAATGCATGGCAGAACCAATGTCAGAACACATATCAGAACACATGTCGAACCAGGTCGCAACACATGTTAGATTTGATTCGATGCAAGAGCGCATGCCAGGAGTACACAAAGCACATGTCAGAATTGACAGTCAAACAAATGTCAGCACACACGCCAGAAAGGACGCCAGAACACGTTCCAGAACATTTCTTAGCCTTCATGCTAAATGATGTGTCAAAGCACCGGTCTCCATATATACCATGCAGCAAAAAAAGTCAGAACATCGAGAACGTTGTGTCCACGCACAAGTCAGGCGGCGTTTGTCAGGACTATGTCAATACATGTGCCCTCCCTTCTTCCAAATCACCTCTCAGGGTGGGGATACTGGAAGTAAGGCACAAATGTGTTTTATTTTTCTGGGATTCGGAAAAGGCCTTGACTCATTAATGGCCTGTACTTGCTACAGTACTGCATGTAAATAAGGACTGGAGTCGTGATGTGCGACCCTCTTTCAACACCTTACCCGGTAGCCTTGCCCCACCAAAATAAAACAATAGACCAACCGCTGCCCAGCCCCCATGAACTTGAAAGCAAAGGACTCAGGGACTTATATATATATATATGTGTACTGAAAATATTTGAAAATTATAAGAATAATCATGCAAATGTCCCAAGCCCTTGGCACTCGAACTATCCAGAAAAACGACCACGATGCCTTCAGAAAAAAAACAAGAAACAACTCTCTCAGACTGCGTTTCTTCACGCCTCGTGCCTCGCCTCCGCCCTCCACGCCGCCATCTTCGCTTGCCGGCGGTTCTTGGATTCGCCGGCCGGGCACAGGTGGCAATGGTTGCACTCCGCGCCGTTCCGGCAGCCCTGGCAGGCCGCGGAATTCCGACTCCCCAGTCTGTCCGGAGACATTCGTAGACAGCCAACACCCGACACAAACTTCGGTGCACCCCGCCAATATGCCCCCAAATCCCAATTCCAGGGCTCGCAACTCCACCTTTCCTGGTGCCATTGTCAATCGTCCTCCTCTCCTCTTCTTCCCCCTTCACCGTCGCCCATCGCGAAGTGCCCCGGCTCCGCGCGGCCGGCCGCGCGGCGCTCGGCCTGTGGCTTCCAAAACCAAGCACAGGGCTTGCAGGTGCCGGTACCGTGCAAGATCGAACCCAAGGACGCGAGTGGTACCTGGTCGAACCCGGTCGGTCCGTGGGCCGTCCCGGTCCGTGGGCCGTCCCGGTCCGTGGGCCGTCAGGAGCGAGAGATCGGTGTGACACGCAGAGGCTATACGTACGAAGGCTGGTGTGAACTTCACCAGTGAGGGCCAGTGAGGGGGCTGAAAGACGTGGAAGAGGGGGGATGGTAGAGTACATCGAAAAGTGATAGTTATAAGTAGTAACTGAATAAGAATAGTCTACAACAGCTATAGGTTGATGTCTGAAAATATCGCTGCTCCTGACTCCTCTTCACTTTACCCTTAGGTCTGGTCTTGAGAAAGCAAGCATCATCAAAGCACATTTGTTTATTGGGCTGGTAGCTGCGCATCAAAAAACACATGCCCCATTGCAATCTTGAGCCGAACTCCTGTTTCCTGTTCATAGCACCTTCGAAGCTTTTTGCCCAAGGACGGCACCTGCGTCTGTTCAACCAGTGTTGGCAAGGGCCCCGCCATGCGGCTTTTGGTGTCCTCACTTTGGCGAAAGCGGTCCACGTTGAAGACAGGATCCGACCGTTGAAGGAACACCATTAACTTACAGAAAAAAGGAGAACACACGGAGGGAACTGTACCACGTTGCCTATATAGACTTAGACGATCCAATTTAGGTGTCCTGGCTGGAGATCTCCAAGTAGCGTAGGATGCATATATGGTAGCTACATTGGACACCCCGACAGGAAGCTCCTATAAGTGTGCGCACAGTATTCCTGGAATCCGTCCAAGAAAAAGCGGTAAAAGTTAAGAAGGTGTTTCCGTCATCAACCAATATTACTTAAGCTTTCACTCGATAACAAGGAAACTGCTGAAAAAAAATAAAAACACAACATAAAGGGAACAGTCGAAAAGCACAGAAGGAGAAGGCACATCACAGTCTAACAGGCGACCCGCTGACCCGGCCACGCATCGAGGTCGAGAAACTCCGTTCAAGAAGAAAACAAGTATGAATTCTGAAATTGAAAATGCAACTCATCGCCACTGCTTTATGTGTTTACATTGCTCACTCAGTCACTTGTTGTTCCGATATATCATATAATAATATATTGTCATATATGTGCATGTGTCCAATATGTTTCTATTGTGCTGCTGTTCCTTGAACGAGCCCATCATCGCCACATTGGTTAAATGGTGCCTATTTCAAACGATTTCAGGAAACTGATGGAAACTGAAGAAACACCTCTGCAACAAAAGAACACATCAATAAAACAAATTCAAGATCCATGAGTGAGTTGGGGCAGCTTCGTACATACTGGCCGATATTTGATCATGTTGATCCTAACGAACTATATTTATATATAGAAATTCGAGTTTTGCAAGGTGGGTGCCAGTGCCAGTCTTCACTTCCACGATTGCTGGAGAATTGCTTAAAACCGACCATGTGTCAATCCAAACGTGCACTGTCCTACAGGCTGGACAATTCTGGAGAGAAGGGTAGCGCACTGCACATCTACCGAATGGACTCGTGGAGGAGCCTCATCAGAACCTGCTTCAAGTAGTAGGATTTTCTTGATTTTTTTTCCAGGAATCCTTCGCTGTTTCTTCCAGTGCCCGCTCCACGGATTCTCCGAAGATCGCCGAGAACTGCGCCTCGCCTGGATGGTTTCCTCCTCATCCATCTCCAAGTGGTCCTCTTCTCCGAAGGTCTCCAACTGTGGCATCCGGTCGAGTGATCAAAAGGAAAGCGAGGGGGGTGATCTCAAATGGTGGTAGGCCAGTCAGCGGAAGCTGACTGAACACTAATACTATTCATATCTAAAGCCTTAAGCACAGCATGCATTATACATCTATGGGTGGCTATGGGGATGTGATTGGTGCGATGGGTGGTGAAGGGTACATGATGACTGTCTGGCGTGGTGGCTTGTGATTCAAAGTGTGTTTTTTCATGATGTGGCAATCTGTAGTACGGTGATTAGTGCTATGGTTAAGCTTCATGTGGATACATGTGGATGAATGTTGATCAGTGACGCGGCAATCAACTGTAACGACCTTCTCCAACCTGTCCCGCAAATGTCCTTCCCTGTTGCTATTTGTAGCAGCACCTCGCCAGTCTGGCAAGTGCGGTGTTTCAACATGTCTCAACCCATCATTCAATTGAGCCGCCTGACAAGGTGTTAACAGGCTCCTACCCGCCACCCTTCAGCTCTGACCACGTGTTCTGAATGATCCGCGCGCCCGTCGCTTCACCGCGTTTCCGACTGCCCCCCTTCCTTTCGCGCCCACCAGGTACACGCCACTTGCTGGATCAGCAGGGTTGTGGCTATCAATCTGGGGGCCGGTATATGGGAAGTCTTGGTGCCAGTGTTCACATCTATATATATTGAATAATGTATATACGCCTCTATCCCAAGCAGCCGTTTGCCTGGCGCACATGAACAAACCGGTGCATATGGAATACATAATCAAACACACCCCGGATGGGCTGCAAGTACATCCTCAGAAGGTATTTATATAGACTCTAAAACCCTTGAAACCCATTCCAAACACCTTCGAAACGAAGGTACGGCTGCAGCTCCTGAGCACGGACTGTGGGAACCCATTGGTTCAGTGGAAGTCATTGGTGCGCGGAAACGCCCTTCACGAAGCCCTCCCGGACCCTTGCGGACCGCGGGCCCCAAACAATCGAGTTCCCGGCATCCGGCGAAGAAACCGAGAGCAATCCGGGAAAACAAAATGATTCCAATGGAATATGACCGGGGATTTGGGGATTCTATCAGATTATCAAATTCTATCACCTCTCTCAGGCAAAATGGATTTCTTAGTTCTTAATGAGTTCTTAAGCTTTTCAGCCGTCAATGCGAAGAGGTCCATATTTTAAACAACAGTACTTATACCGGCGGCGAATACGCGGCGCGCCACAAACCCGGCACGGCGCCTGGAGGAATTTCGGTTCAGACTCCCAGGACGGTGCCGGTGGAAGTTGGGCTTCATGAAATTCCGGAGCACTCCTGCAGATCCCGTCGCGGTCGCGGGGACTCGCGGGGACCGTGTTTGTTTTTCAATCCGTCGACTGTAGGTTCGTGAGCCGGGGACGTGAACTGCGAAGATTTGGGAGAACAGTGAACAGTGCAGTTGATGTGTCTTATTTTATCAGATCAGAGCTTGAGCAAAAAACGTCCAAACTCTTTTGAAGATTCACTCTTCAATCGATTTTGACGTGGCAGAAGCCTCAAGGTCCAAAGAAAACATTTATATAACTAGCATAATATAGCAACATCCAATAATATATAGCAACATCCATGGCCTGAACATGCCTGAACAAAGGACCAACAAACCACGGGAGACCTGACCAAAAGGCATGGCCCCACGGTTGCAGGGCGGCTGGCCAGGTACCAACCATCAGAAACTCAAGAAAACTAACAACCTGAACAGCACCAGGAGCCTGGTTTGTTTCTTGGACCCTCAGACATGTCCTCTCTCTGAAACCTTTCTCTTCCTTCCTTTATCTATTCCGTAATGACCTCAACGACAGGCCAATGGGTCGTCACGTGCTGGGATGGGCCTTCCTTGGATCCCTTGTGCTGCGCTGCTACTGCGGGCCACTCGTCGTCTGCCTCGTTTGCACGCATGTTCAGTCCAGGGTGATGGTGGTGATGGTCATGCATTGGAGCACGTGCCGTCCCGGTCGAGACCCCAGTCCTCACGGGTGGTGGAATGGGCGGAAGGGACTGGCCGACCACCTGCACAGTGGACACGGTGTGCGCATGGAAGACTTGAACCAGAGGCTGGCGGTTTGGAAGAACCTTTCTTTCTGACTGCTGCGACTCGCAGGTAATGAGGGTGGCTGGATCCAATAGAATCTCTATTGGGGGCTCATTCCATTCCCTACTAAGTACCAGTCAGATGGTTTGGTGAAGTCCTTCACCCAGAAAACGTCCAAACGGCGGCGGCGGGGCGGGCGGGGGTGAAAAGCAAAGAATCGGGGCCAACCGTTGGTTGACACAACGCAGCGCTAAAGGACACGTGACACGGGTCAATTGAGTAGGGTTGAGAGAAAGAAACGCTGCAACCAATTATGCTGCATGGCATGGTTGATCACGGTTGTATATACCTGGTACCCCTGAAGAGTGATAATTATCACTCCGTTTTGTAATTATCAGTCTTTTGGACAGTGGTGTGACAAAAAGCACTCCGGAGTGAGAATAGTTGTTCCAGAATGGTTTTTGTTGCTCCGCAACGTATCTTGAACGCAAAGCGAACATTAATTGAACGCAAAGTGAACGCACTGCAAACGCAATCTGAACGCAATTGCGGTTGGACTGATTTTTTCCAATCTGGAGTGCTTTTTGTCTCACCACTATCCAAAAGATTGATAATTACAAAATGGAGTGATAATTATCACTCTTCAGGGGTACCAGGTATGGATTGAAACTGAAACCTTTCGACTCGGCCTCAGGTTCAAGTCAGGAAGAATCAAACCATCATAATAGATAGTCTGGATAAAGAAAGGATGAATCTGAATGAATCCAGCATGCCGCTGCTTGTCAGACCTTCCCCGCCAAAAGAAACAAATGGACATCTGAGATGTCAATACATGGGGTCCAGTCTTACAGACCCTGCCATAGAAATTGCATAATAAATCATGGAAGCCAAACAAAGGAGGCCTAGAGGCTTGTCGAGTCGAGTTGTCGTCACCACACGACCAGGCGCAGCCTGGGTTGGTTCATGTTGGTTCCGTCTCTAATGACCAACCCATGTCATGGGTTGGTTCATGTGGTTCCTCCCTCATGTCACGGGAGGGTGTTGGTTCCCTCCCTCATGACCACACACCTCGTTTTCTCGCACGGAAGACCGGACCCTCAAGGCCCTCGACCGTCGAAAACAGAGTCCCGGCCACGGCCCCTCGAGGCTCGAAGTGCAAATGGTCCACCGGATCCTGGTGAGATCTTCGCACTGTCATCGGGCGAACGGACCGAAAGGGTAAGCCAGCAAGGCTTGGAAAGCCGGATTGAAAACCAATGGTGGTCCCGGGAGCCGGCTTGGAATTGAGATGAGTGGGGTCACCGGTTGAACATGTAAGAAACCACACCTAGACTCGGAAACCACACCTAGACCTGCAAAGAAAGTGGTAGCAAATGGTAGCAACCACTCGCTGCTCATCCCATTCAGCCACCTCCCGACTCGCCACCGAAGTCGCCGGACGAGGAGTCGCGACCGAGGTTTCATCGCTCGAGTCCGGCTGAAGCGCTGTTCCACAGACCATGGTACCTCAGACCTTCTGGATCTTGTTGACCTTTGTATAATGAATCCGGTGTTCACATGAAAAATACGATGCACCTGAAATTCCCATCTTCTGAACCACGAAAACCACTGTGCGCCACGTGTGGCGCGGTCATCCGCGGGTCCTTCTTCTGTTTCATCTCCATCCCCGGGCACAGGTGGCACCGGGGACAAGTCTGTCCAAAGCCTTGCCAAACCAACGCCTGCACCGCGAAAAAGGGTTCGGCACGGTGACCTAGTAGCAAGGACGCTACGAACGTAGCTCCTGGCCTTACTACTGGGGGCAAGAAGCTACTAGGAACAAAGGGCATCGCTACTAGTAACAAGAAACTATACCAGGCCCTCTTGCTGCTGGAATCACTCTGAGGGCTGCTCCGCCTCAAATAGGCCTTTTGAATCTGCTCCGCGGTTGAGCTCGGAACGGATTCAACTTGTCTATGGGTTGGGTCTATCCTATTATCTGTATAACAGTGGATGATGATGGTTAATTAGGTACCAGGCCTTGTTCAACAATTAGTGATTTGCTTGTTTACTGACGGCTCTACAGGTCAGAATAGACAGACCCAAGCTATGGGTGGATCTATCTTCAGGTCTGCAGAGCGAAGCCGTCCCAATCGAGCTTCCGTCAGCTGAGCCGTGCTTCACGTGCCCCCCAAACACTCCACGGCTGTATTGTTGGATGAGTCAAGTCTGCCCCAAGTCTGCTCCATGTATGTCCTTTATGCCGCATGCCTACATTGACCCCTGAAATCACTCCCTATGGGTAAATAGTTGTAAACTTGCCTTACATGCAAACACCAAATCTCCGCAAGAGCTGCTCAAACCGTCAGAACATTCCTGCGAGCGAATCAGTCGGTTCGCTTTGGGATTTTGGGATGACTAAGCCCATGCCAGGCCTAACTAGCAACACAGCCAATTTGGTCAATGCCAGATCTATCATTTGGTGTCTCAATAGATTTGGAAAACCGGTCCGAAGAAAGGAGTCAAACAAATTTGTCCCTCGCAACGTTTTTGTTGGCACATTATTTGGAGACCCGGTTCCAAGCATGATGCAACTTGTATATGTATTTAATTACAGTACCTGAGCCGTGATTCCTGAGCCTCCCCACACAATTTCCGCATTGCATTCCTCAGTTGGGGAGAAGGGAAGCCTCAAGCGTGTGTTCGAGTCGCGCAGGGACCAACAGGTGAGCTAGAAAACCACCAGCCCACAGGCTGCAAGTTTGTGCATTTCTACTGGCTCCCTCAGTCTTACCCCGGGAAAATCAAGGTTCACCTTTTCTGTCGGCACAGCCATTGATACATCCAATTTAATCCAACTGTCCAAACCAATGAAATCCATCTCCTGTGACCCCAATAGAAATCGATGACAACACCTACTTCACCTGCCATGTTCTCCCCAACACCTCCCCAATCGATGACAACACAACATCACATCACATCATACCGCAAAATCCTTCGCACGGACGGAACTTCGGTCTACGGCGGTGACGGTACAAGTACGTGACACCAAAAATCATAGCAATCAAGGAATGCATCTACATTGTTATGCATATATATATATACAATTAAGCACACTTGGCTTTCAACAAATCCAAGTCTTGGATCTCTTGGGCACCCCTCCTTCAAGATCATAGAAAACACCTCAAAACACTGTAAATAGTATAGCTGTTTATGCTCAGGCGTGCCATATAACATATAAAATTCTCTGCTTAAGTCATCCCGGATTCCAAACTTCCTCAAGCAGGAACATGGTCAAATTTGCGATGTGTTCCAATGAGCGTAGACCAAAGCTACTCCCAATAATATATACTGTATATATACCTTATGAAGCGAGAACGACTATGTAACTGTGGCAGTAACTAGAAGACTGCTCCTGATTAACGGGCTATGGTGTCTTTCTTCCAGTTGTTGGGCCCTCCAGCGATGTTTTGTTCCTCGTCCTGCCTGCAAGAAACTCTGCTTGAGCACATGTCAAAACCCGCACATGCCCATCATCCCTCCTCAAAACTATGTTACATAATAGATCCCTGGGTTCCACCATCCTCCAAAAACCAGTCACTTCAATTGGGGCTGATGTGATCGTGGACAAGAAGAGCCGTCACGAAGCAGCCGAGCCGTCCGAGCAGCTATGCATTGACCCCGGCATGGAGCTTGAGCTGCTGGCCTGGAGAAGTGCAGCAGCTAAACCTCTCCTCTCTTCTGTGCGGGTCTTTGAATGTTGGCAAAGAACGAGACAAATCACACTAATGTAGACTCTTGATTAATAACCCCACCATTTGAAGTGGAAAATCATCTTCATATTAGGGGGTTTATTAATCAAAAGTCTAATACCTCAAAGGAACATGCTCAACTACCAGGCCAAAGCTTGAGCGGCTCATGCTTTTAAGATCTTTTAAGCATACCGGCATTTGCGCCCCCCGGTTCATTTTGCGCAACACCAGCACCCCAAGAAGCCAATGGTACCGACATTCCTTTTCCGCATGACACTGGAACATACTCTCAGTGCGAGGCTGCGAGGACTGGCCCGTTCTCTTCCATTCTCCGTACCACCGTCACCAAGTCTGGAGTCTCCACGGACCGGGCGTTCGCACCATGCAACCGAGCATGGAGGAATCGCCCACGGATCTGGTCGTCTCCCGCAACCAAGCGCATAAGGCAGAAAACCCCATACATGTTGCGAGGAATAAAGTTGATTTAGCAGCCCATTGCTATTGCAATATACACTCATATTGATGGCACTGCTAGATCTTACCCATCAATGTATGGAGCTGCCAAGAATTCGGTTGTCCCCAAACTAAGTGGGATTGCTTCCCAAATCTTGAGGCACCCTCTCGAACACAACAGTCCACGTGTCCACTCCACGTTGACACACGTGGTCATATCTGACTCCCGAGCCGTTTCCCTGGAAAAGAATGATAGTTTTCCCTTTTTTTTCCAACTGTTCGTATGAAGTGGGCCGGGGAGAAACCCGATCCCCAATTCCCCATCAATCCAACCCCCAAAATAGGGGTTTTCCAGGTTCTCCACACTTTGGGTAGGAAGAACGTCTGCCTTTTGGGAGGGCGACTCATGTGGTGCCGAACCGACCGGCCTCGAACCGACGGCCTCACCGACCCGACCGCCTTCTCGCCCTTCTCAGCCTCCTCTTCGGAGCCCGTTTCGCCTGGCGGCGGGCGTCACGGTGTCCAACGTCGCGGTCCATCGGAAGCAAAGCGAGTTCGCACGTGCGTCTTGAAACAACTGGAGTTCTGAACCGTCAAACTCAAAGCATGTCTGAAAAACACGACGTATCAAAGGATAAAGAAAAGGGTTCTGACTCCAGGATCCTGATTGGAGCAACAACAATCACACCTTGAAACACATCAATGGCAAAAACATGTCACACCGAACAGCCGCCGCTGCAGGAGAAACACTTTAACCACTAGAGAATCATCCACACATGTTTTGGTCTGCTTCTTCCCTAGCTCAGGAGGGGGCACTCAGTCACTCAGGTATGCAATATATTTGACCATGTTGCCTTTAAAACCAAAACCTGGGACCTGCACTAACTATTAATGAGTATCAGTATCATTGTATGATATTGTATGTGCATGTGCGCGTATCTGCCAAATTACTGTATACAGTAGATCTTGGTGTACGCATGCAGGCTTGTTCATGTTTTTTTCCCGAAGGCGTTTAATGGTCGCCCATCAAACGGCAAACAAATGCCTCACCCAGTGCCACGCACGCGCGAGACGCAACCAAGAGCGACCGAGCACGTGACCTGGTGGGAACAAACATATCAAAAACCACGGAAACCGTCGGGCCAAGCTCTTAAAACCCTGGTGGGCACGCGGCACGACTGGTTTTCAAGGATTTCTATTCGCCATCTCGGGTGGTTTTGAGTGTCTTTCATCTCCGCTGGCAATGTGGCAATGCCATTCTTTCGTGGCCATTTTGCGGAGAGACAAGCAGGAGACACCCGAGCCGAGCCCGATCTTTCTACTTCCAACCAAAAACATCACCCAACCAGGTAACACTTTCGACCAGGATGCGCGGTGACTGGCTGCCGGTCGGGTGAGTCGGGTCACTGGTGGCGGTCACGGTGGGGCTACCGGCTACATGTGGTGTCCATTCTGCGTGCCGATGTATGCCATTGTTTGTTGCCCGCTGTTATGTCTGTCCTGGTGCGTTGTCGAGTAATATATTACTGTACGTTTATATACGTGTCTGCCATTGTGTGGTGAGTCAGTGTCAATATTTGTTGTTTGTTGTCGCGTTTGTCATTGGACTGGTCACGCACTGGGTGATGCCCTGCAGCAACAAAGGTCACGGAAGGGTGGGTTGACTCTAAATCTAGCTACAACAGGTACCCTCCTCACGTGACTGGTCGACCTCTTGTTCCATACCCACACGGGCCATCTCGCCCCCGCACATCATGTTCAACCCCCAAAACGCTCTGGTCGCACCTTCTGGGAGACAGGTGGCCGGGGTCGGTGGCATATAATCCACCTAAAGCATCGGACAGTTCGGCCGGATCGGACTCTTGATGAATCCCCGCAGCCGAGTGTGAAAGCTCTTCCTTTTGGGCTTGATTGATCAAGAGTCTACAAGAGATCATCATTAGGCTACAAGAGAGTCTTCCTTCAAGAGTTTACATTACAAGAGAGTCTCTGACCTCTGACCCTCTTGTTTTCGAGAATTTGAGCTTGGCCAGAGGCTTTCTCCGAACACATCACAATCATCAACCAAACACTGTCCCTTCCTGAAAGCACCTTGCCGCACCTTGGCTAGTAGGTTTCCATCCTATCTTCGGCCCCAGAGTGGCACTTCGGTTCGAAACAAGCCTTCAAACACCCGAAGACTTAGAATACAACTATGCCCTATACTCTCTTTCCGGGCAAGCTGGTCTGCACACCATGGGTCACCCAGGTCAGCCTTTTTCCTTGCCCCTTGCAAACTTGCGCAACAGAATCCGTGTTTTAGAGATCTCCCCTTTGGAGACGGAAGTCTGCCGTAGGTACCTTGCAAACAAGTTAAGTGAGAGGTACCCATTAACACAGTATGTCTCAGATCATGATACACAAACTCTGAAGGTTTATTCCTTCAATGGAACTTACACCTGCCCCCTGGGTCGGCCGCCTTCTCGAAAAATAGAGCCTTCCTGAATTCAAACTCAACAATGCTTGAACTTCAAACCATTGTGTCTGGGGAAAGCACCTTTGGGTGGAGCAAACGCAAGTCCTGAAAAGCACATGTAAACTTGACCGTAGGTAACTCAGAGTGGAAGCTCTAAAGTTCCACCACCTGAAGTCCATCCTGTGATTCCTCTTGAGACTGCCCGGTGCCAAGACACATGAGGACATACCTCGAGTGTGCATTCAGGGCCCAAGTGCCTTAGCCAAGGCTGGCTTGGGCAATATGCATCGTGACTGCTGGTCTACAGCCCCGCAAGGTGCAGGCTTCCAGGAATTTGGGTTCAATGGCGCCATATTGTGAGACAATTCTTTGTTCGACTATTTCTGTTGAGCTGGGTGCAAAAGTAAGCAACAATAAATATAGATAATGATATATAATGTTGTTCCTTTGCACGAGTCCTCCAGTTCTCCATGTCAAAACCACAGCAGGCAGGGGCCTGTCTCCAGGCTGCACGAACCCGCTGGCAAATCACCATAAGGATCCGCCAGGGCTACATGAACCTGCATGAGCCGAACACCAAGCCAAGCAATCTCGCCATGCCGAGCATGTTCATCAAGCGACGTCTGCCGCCCAAGCTTCCCCGTTCCCCCTGGTTCCACACACACACATGCCACCCGTGCGATCTGCCAAGGAGCAGCTTCGACTCCATCTTCTTGACCAAAAACTCGCTGCGAGAGCTGGTTCGTGCCGAGGAAAAACTCGCTGCGGAGGAGCGAAAGACTGTTGGTTACGTTTGATGATTCCTTTGGGGGTCGGTTCTATTTTTGGACGTCAACCCCGGAGGCGGAAGCCCTTGGGAAGAGAGTCGTGTGAAAGGTGAAAGTGGCTCGGCCAGACCTGGCGGTGTGAAGTGGTATATTAAGGTCACTGAAGCCTCTGCTGGAATGCTCAAAACGTGGACGAGGCCTTTGTTTCCTCCAAGTAGCATATGAACCATTTTGGATTCACAAAAACACATCACACCTACATTACATCTGCACATCTGTTAAACAACATGGGGAGACCAGCTAAATGCAAATCACACCTCACCCACCTATACAACCCTTCCAACTCCCCATCCCCTCTTTTCCTCTTCCGAAGATCGGTTTTCGCATGGCGCTGGTGCCCAAAAAGAGATGGCACATGATGGCACAGCCAGGCAAATTTCGGATGTGCGAAGCTGGCTCTTCTGCCCAGATCGGCAGGAACTCACCTGGAAGGACTCGGATTTCCAAACGCCCCCATCGGACCTGACCGCTCCCATCAGACAAACCCGCTGATCTGTTGGCGTAATGAGTTACAGTTTGACACCATGTTGGCCCAGAACTGGGCGCACTCCACCCAGCTTCTCTTCCTCTCTCCCAGGGGGAGCGATCAGAGTGTCTTCCAGATTTCTGGCACAAACAGTCACACTAAGCTTTTGACTTCAGGCTGGACTTCTGGCGCGGTCATTGACATGGTTGAAATCACTTCAGGCTGGCATGCTGTTGTTTCCCCAAATTCTCCCTTCTGACGCGTGGGCATGGCTAACCACCAAGCAAGTTGGTGGATAAGCAACGCATGGACATTGAAAAGTGCTGAAAAGGCCAAAGCAAGCTGATTGTCAAAGCCGTCAGCCAGATATGACAAATGCCCACCCAGATCGACTCTCTAGAGTCAATGTCCGAAGACTGTCCTACAACCGCCTAAGGTCAGAGTTCTGACCAAATCAGCAACAAAGTATCGAACTAAATAAGCAAGTTTAGGACCGGGCGTTGGATCGTTTTTTCTTCCAAGCCGCTTGGAGGAGCAACCCACATGAAATTGTGTGTGAAAACACATACATAAATATTATATGCAAGTTTGCTCTTCGTTCCTGACTTGATGCAAAAGAAGCTTCTTCCTGTCGAAGCTTTTGAAAACCACCGCGTGACAAAGGGCCCTGTATGCCCAATACGCGCAGAGATGCTGCAATTCCCAGCCAACGATTTGTAAAGCCGGCGTCCAGCATGAGGTTTGCAACTTGAACACTAACAGTTTTGTAATGTTCTGCACACATTTCATCCAGCTCATGACCCCTGAGAAAGGATATGACCATTGGTTGGACAAACCTCCTTTGGCTTGACAAATCCACTGTATGATCGCAGCCTCTTGTTGCACCTAAACAAACAAATCAAACCTGATTCTGACACAATCCCTCATAGTTGAAGAATGCTCCAGTTCCAAACACCGCGGTCGGCCGACTCTGTCTGTAAGATTCTCTCGCAGCCGGGCATGGCATGCGTTCCTGTAGGTTGCACCTGATTCATGGCGGCTTGCACCTGATTCTTGATGCGCCTCCGTCACTCCGACCAACACCCATCACATTAACCCATTTCGATGCTCACGCTCGACAATGGGTGCCACTGGATTCGAGCGATCCGAATGTCACTAATGGGACCTTATAGTTCTCTAAACTGAAACGTCCCAAACAGCATTCAAAGGCCATCCAAAAGGCTTGGGGCATCTTGGGGAAGGTTTACCCCAATCTATTTCCAGCTGAATCTTTGGAAGGAGTTCCACTATAGTATCTACATTGACTCATTACCTGACTCATAGGTGATAATGGGTGAGACTTTTAGAAGGATTGTTCAGTAACTCAGTATCCGAGTGTCATCATTTGGCTCTGGTCTAGGAGGGTTGGCACGGTTGGCAGCTGTTGTCTGCCACATCTACTCATCCCAGCCCGATAGTCTACGCACCCAGCCTGATAGTCTGAAGAAAGGACTGTCTGGAGCCACCCATGGGTCTTCCGATACCCCCATCCCCACGCGCGAAACCGATGCTTTGCGTTGAAACGTGCCGCCCAGTCACTCCCTGGACGTGTGTTTTTTCGTGAATGGACGAGCCACGACGGGTCACCAGTCTGAACCTTTCCCAGACCATCGATGGGACTAGAATAGCCACTTACATTTGCCCCATGAAAATGACTCCACTTATAGTTACCTCTTCTATCCCATGATTCCATGGAGTGTCTTGATCTTTGAATGCTTCGGTTTTCGCATCCCAGCATCCCGTGTCGCCCCAAACATGGGGCATCTTGGAATGACAAACCTGTGCTTTTGAACACTCACCTTTATCACACAACAGGATACCATGGGATGAGTCCTCGCCAATAGAAGTTGGACTATCAACCGTGGGTCTGAGGGCGCTCTGTTTCTTTAATACTCTCGCTATATATATTATCATGTCAACAAACAGGTGACTGGGGTCTTGGCACACATCGTTCAGGCGCCCCAAACAGATTCATTACCAACATCAGAAGCTTGGAACACCTGAGGATCTCAACACATTGTCCCCCAAAAATGATTTGATTTATCGCGAACTCAGCCGCGCGCTTGTCCGGAAAGTACAATCCAGCAAATACACCCGCCCAAGAATGGCCATTGGCTGGCATTGGCTGAACGTAAATGCCTCGAGGAGGAACCAACCATACGAATTCTTTTCAACATGACCGACATCTTGTGAATTGAAATCAGCTGGAAGGTGTATATGTATGTATATATATATATATGTGTGTATATATATATATATATTAGAGGTATTTTAGAACTCCTGACATCCATATGGCACTGCCATGGACATTGGACGATTTGAACAGCTGTACTATCACCGGTGCAAGACAGCTATACTTCCCAATCCCAGCTGCACTCCGGCTGCCTGTTCACTGTTTCCTGCCGTAACGGCGAAACAATGCAAACAACTTGCCGATGGCCGATGTATGCCTCACAAAGAAACATCAGAGAAGCCAAACGTATCTAAACACCCAAAATACGGAGAATCAATGTCACACACTTTGAGACTTCAGAAATTGCATACCGCATACCGCATACCCCCTGTCCAGTAGTAGCGGTTGATACAAATCCCACCCATGATTTAGCTGGGTGGAAGCTACGAAATATGCAATGGAAATGGATGGAACCAGCCCTTTGCTATTCGGATTGCCTGGGGGTTCCTTTGACGTAATCATGATCCTTTTTACATAGAGATCACCTCCTTTTTCACTGTCAGACGACGCGAAGGTCAAACACCGCAACAGCTCCTTCGTGCAACTGAAGGTGGGAGTTCCTCGCACTGAATTCAGCCCGTGGAGGTTGGAGCAGCAGGCTCAAAAATGAAGCCTTCAAGAAAATTTGTTGTGCAATACTGGTACAATACTACGTATATATATATATATTCTTCCCACATGGACCAATGAATTTAATCATGCACTCTGCTGTGTGCATTGATCTACGTCCATGTTCCGCTGTTAACTTGGCACTCACGAAAAAAGTGCCCATAACAATCAGGAACACATGACCTGATTATTTTGCTTAATCAATTGCCTGAAGCAAGTGGTTGTGGGTAGTGGTCTTCATAGATAACATCAAAAACGTTCCATACCAAATACCATATGAAAACAATGGAAAACTTGGTCATATCTTTGGATTGGCTATATTATGTATGTCTGTCTGTCTTTCTGTCTGTCGGTATGTATGTCTCTGTCTCTGTCTCTGTCTCTGTCTCTGTCTGCATGTCTGCATGTCTGCATGTCT